TCTTCTTTTCTCTTCATGGCTAATAAGAGTAAGTCCCGGACAACTCAAGCTCCATTTGCAATGCATGCTAGATATACCTCATTTTCCCTGCAGCCGTTTCTCATGTCTTAGGAAGGTACATTGCTCTGGACCAGGGGTGGGCAAACTTTTTGACTCGAGGGCCACAATGGGTTCTTAAACTGGACCTGAGGGCTGGAACAAAAGCATGGATGGAGTGTTTGTGTGAACTAATATAAATTCAAAGTAAACATCATTACATAAAAGGGTACGGTCTTTTTTTTTTTTAGTTTTATTCATTTCAAACGGGCCGGATCCGGCCCGCGGGCTGTAGTTTGCCCACGGCTGCTCTGGACTCAAGTTTTGTCTCCCATTTTGGGTCAAGATTCTATCCACTGGACTTGAAGATTTATCTTTGTTTCTTCAGGTTATCTCTTGGTTTACTCCATGATCTTTGGCTGATAATTACCATCTGCCTTTTTCTGCTATTCATCTGAAATCCTGAGGGGAGGCGAGAGGGCCTAAGGAAATATTTAAAAATAATAGCACATTAACCTGAGCTTGACTTGGATCTCAATTCCAGTGGAGGAGACGCTACTGTTTACGTCTACTCTGATCTTGAGCTACTCTAAGCCACTCTCTTCTCCAGGGTGAAGACCATCCCACTGAAAGGGAACCTCAGAAAAGATAGACTTTAATGCTGTGAAAATCCTCAGCAAACTATTCCTCAAGTACAGTCTTAGTGTTCACAAGAGTGAACCCAAATGAAAGAGAATTTGGGCTCCATCTGCAGCAAAGCCCCAGTCATCGACAATAATTTCTCAAAATACAAACTTTCAATATAGTTGCCATTAAATTGTTATTTAGCTCTTCTGGTTCTGCTTATATTAGCTAATGTATAAATGTGGGTAATTCAGAAAACAAAAGATGTTCATTCTCTTTTCACTCATCTTCTATAAAATACTTGGTATAGCTCCATAGTTGTCCCACATTAAATAATTTCTGTCTTTCTTTCTCCTACACTGCATAGGCTTAGAATGAGTCCTGATTTCTTTCAGGGGCTTTTAATTTTATTTTTCCAAACCATATGTCTCACCAAGCACTGTATATTCCTTATCTTATTGTATCCTCAAGCTACTTGTATGAAGTAATTATTATAATTCCTACTTTAAGAGCAGTTAAGTGATTTGTCTAAGGTCACACAACTGGCAAATGGTCAAAGCAGTATTTGAACCATGATCCTTCCAACATCAGGGTCTCTGTTTTTTTCATTATACTATTTTAATTTTGATGAGAAGGGAAATTCTGCCTTAAAAAAAAGTCACAATAAGAAATTATATATAAACCATAAAAAGACATGGAGGCACTTTAAATGCATATTACTAAGTGAAAGAAGCCAGTCAGAAATGGATACACACTGTATGAGTCCAATTACATGATATTCTATAAGATAATATAGACAGTTAAAAGATCAGTGGTTGCACATGATCTCACTCATTTGTGGATATAATAAACAACATAAACTGATGAACAAAAATAGATCCAGAAACACAAAAGCATCTAACAGACTGTCAAACCTCAGAGGGAAGGTGGGGGCAGGGGTGTTAAGAGATCAACCAAAGGACTTGTATGCATGCATATACGCATAATCAATGGACAAAGATAGTAGGGGGGTGAGGGCATGTGCTGGGAGGTAGGAGTGGACGGGGAGAGGTCAATGGGGGAAAAAGGAGACATGTAATACTTTAAACAATAAATAATTTAAATTTAAAAAAAAGATCAGTGGTTGCTAGAGACTAGGGGAGAGGCAGAGATAAGAAGGCAGAGCACAGAGGATTTCTAGGGCAGTAAAACTGTTCTGTATGATACATATCATTATACATTTGTCAAAACCCATCCTAATATATAAATACTCAGGGTCCATAATGTCCAAAATGACTGAAGGCTCGACCTAGCAGAAGTCAGTCCTGCAGTCAGTGCTGGGTTGCCGTGGTGACCCAGCACTGACTGCTGAGGGGGCTGCAGATCAGGCCCGGAGAGAGGCCTGGAGAGAGAAGCAGGGTCTGATCCGTAGCCTCCATGGAAGCTGTTGATCAGCCCTTGCCTCTTTCTTTCTCTCTGGGCCTGGCCAGCAGCCGCACCTCTCTTTCTCTCCAGGCCTCCCTGGAGGCTGCTGATCAGCCCTGCCTCTCTGATCAGGCCCAGAGATAAGCCTATGACTGGCATAGAAACCAACCAATCAGAACCAAATCTGGGTGAACTGTGAGGAGCCAATGGCTGCCTAGGAGGTGGAGCTTTTGATGCTGACTGGCATAGAAACCGACCAATCAGAACCAAATCTGGGTGAAGTGCGAGGAGCCAATGGCTGCCTAGGAGGTGAAGCTTTTGACACTGACTGGCATAGAAACCGACCAATCAGAACCTAATCTGGGTGAACTGCAAAGGCAGAACCTAAGGTGGGGGCTGAGGAGGGGTTTTAAGGGCAACAGCTGTTTGGTGTAAGGTGTAAGAAAGCAGTTTGATTTTTTAATGACTGGTTTGGCAATATAGTTCATATGGCCAGCTATCAGTTCAGATATAGGGATTATGTATTTTTGTCTTCCAAGAGCATCCCCTCCTGATGAAAAAGGCTTTTCCCCCCATTTAAGCAACCCTATCCTACATAATCTATCTATACTAATAAAAGGGTAATATGCTAATTAGACCAGGTCGACCAGCCATCTTCCAGACATCCAACTTTCTTCCGGACAAAGCCATGTTGGTGGGGGCTGAGGCAGAGGCAGTTAGGGGTGATCAGGCCGGCAGGGAAGGGCAGTTGGGGGTGAGATCAGGCCAGCAGGGGAGGGCAGTTAGGGCGATCAGGCAGGCAGAGGCAGTTAGGGGCGATCAGGCAGGCAAGCAGAGGCAGTTAGGGCCGATCATGCAGGCAGGCAGGTGAGCGGTTAGGAGCCAGCAGTCCCAAATTGCAAGAGGGATGTCTGATTGCTGCCAGTCAGACATCCCCTAAGGGGTCCCCGATTGGAGAGGGTGCAGGCTGGGCTGAGGGACCCCCCCCCCGCAAAAATTTCGTGCACCGGGCCACTAGTAGATTATAAAACACCAAGAGTGAACCCCAGTGTAAACTCTGGACTCTGGGTGGCAATGATGGGTCAATGTAGCTTCATCAGTTGAAACAAACGTTCCACTCTGGGGGAGGCTGATAGGGAGGTTGTACGTCTGTGGGGACAGGAGGTATATATGAACTCTGTACTTTCTGCTCAATTTTGCTGTAAACCTAAAACTGCTCAAAAAAATAAAATCTAATTTCAAAAAAGATTTCCCCACTAAACAGACAAATAGAAATCATAGACTTTATGTTACTTCACGCCTTGCTCCACTTTCTACCCCTAACACTTAAGACATTATAAAGAGAACCAAAATTAGTTAAAACTAAGCTAATAGAATAAGATACTAGAAGTATAAATATCCGAGGGCATCCTAATTCAGCCTGTATTTCCCTTTGTTTCTCCTTCCTATCATCTATCTGGTCATCCTTTTGGTTGATTTCATTTTATTCCCACCACACAACTTCTACAGCCAGGAATGGAAAAAGAGAAAACAAAAGCAAACGTTTTCACAATACTCTTAGTATTTATGGTTCCAGTTACCATTGCTGCCAAAACATAGTGTGTAAAACAATCATTTATTATGCTCACGGATTCCATGGGTTAAGAATTCAGACAGAGCACACGGAGGATGGCTTGTCTCAGGTTTGTAATATGAGGGATCTTAGCTGGGAAAACTCCAACACTGGGCTGACTCAACAGCTGGGGGCTGCAATCATTTGGAGGCAATTTTTCCTCACATGTCTGGGTGTTAATACTGGCTGGGACCTCAGCTAGCTTCACAGCCAAAATACATATCCCTGGATTCTCCATCAGTCTCTCCGTGTGGGCTAGTTTGGATTTCCTAGTTTGGACATGTTGACCGTGTTCTAAGAGAGAGCATCCCAAAAGAGCAAGAAGGAAGTGTATGACATTTTTATGATCTAGTGTCACTCGTAGCATACCCTATTGGTCAAAGCAGCCAGAAAGGTCTACCCAGCTTCCAGAGGGAGGGACATAGCCCCAAACCCCTGGATGGGAGGTGTGTCAAGATCACATTGTAAGCACATATGGAATAGGAGGTATTGCTTTTGGCATTTTGGAAAATATAATCTACTGCAATAACTCTTGTTATATTTTATTATACCTTAAATATCTAGGTATTGTTGCATTTGAATGTTTGGTTAGACATTGCTCCTCATCTTTATTTGTGATTATCTGTTTCAGATTATAAACCACATGATGGCAGGGACAGCCGTGTTAAGTTCATTTTCATGAGCTCCAACATAGAGCCTTATACTTGACAACCACAGTATACAGCATTATTACTATGATGCAATTGCTGATAGGTACATGCACTTGAGCCATCATTATTTTTTACATGTGTAATGTGTTGCAGCTAATCTCTGTAAAAAGGCATATAGCATCTTTACAATTTTGTATTGACGAGAGAGAGAGAGAGAGAGAGAGAGAGAGAGAGAGAGAGAGAGAAGAGAGATTTGATGTTCCACTTACTTATGCATTCATTGGTTGCTTCTTCTTTATGCCCTGACCGGAGATCGAACCTACAACCTTGGTGTATCAGGACAATGCTCTAACCAATGGGATACACAGCCACGGCACCTATAGCATGTTTAATATGCAAGTGAGTCTTGTTACAAAAATTAGATCTTGGTAGCTTGAGAGGAGTACCTAAGTTCTTCCAAGTGAATAGATTCTTGTAAAGCAATAATAGAATCTCACAGGTGAGTGGGGAACCACTTCCTTGAGGAAACTATCTTTTTTTTTCCCTCTGTGATTAGTCACTTTTGATTTACTAGATTATTAAAAGGTGTATTTGAGGAATCGGTGTGAGACCTTGATCATGGATGTTGATCTCTTCTGAAAAGTTAATTAATGAAGGCAATTGTCCCTTTTCAGTTGATTTCATAGGTGGCTTCGATTCTTATGGCTATCAAGGGCCTCAGAAGACATCTCATTTACAACTGCAGCCTATGTACATGTAAGTACTTTACTTGGGTGGTTTTCATCTGGGGTACCACAAGATGGTGAAGGAAATTTCTGTGGCACAAAATAGATGGCATGCAACTTTCCTTCAGTTATATACTTTAGCATTTCTCTCCTATTCATATCGTTTTGACTGGGATAGCTCTGATACTATTTTCTTCATAATTATTTTAAAATTTAACTTAGAAATGCCACATCTAAAGTTACCTTAAGTCTTATATAAGTATCAACTACATGGCTAAAAAAAACCTCTAATCGTATACTAATTTTTGAATTACCCAAAAGTTGCATATACTTAAAATCATATAACATTGTAGGTGGTTATATGTGACTATATATAAACCATATGTTTTGGTTTTCCCAGGAGAGTCTAGATTTACACAGGTTGTCCAGGTATAATTATTACCAGCACCCCCAGTTAGATAGTAAGTGTTGTTATCACTCCAGTTAGATATAGTGTTTAAAAAATCAAAAACTGAGCAATACTTTATCATTTCTGTGATTTGAAAAGTGAAAATGAAGCCAGACTATTAACACTGAAACCTATCAGACCCTTAACTCTAGCACTCCAGAGAGCAGATATACGATCAGAGCCTGATTTTTATATCTGTGTTTAGGCAAATTCCCTTGGATAACAACTGATAACAAATTCTATATATCAGCATCAAGTGATATGCTGAGTTGCAAGCGAAGATCAAAATAGAAAGTAAGATTCCAATTCATTTTGAAATGTGAGCTTCTCTCTTTGAAGATATGTGTTTGTTGTCGTTGTCCTCCACCATTGAATCATTTTACCTTTTAATATCGTTAGTGTGTAGGATAACAAGTGTGTTTTTGGAGTATTTCTCTGGAGAAATTAATCTTTATGCATACCTTTTCAGCTTCTTTTTAAAAGGGGAATGATCTATGCAGCATGCCTCCATTTTTCTTTGTGTCCCTTGTAGTTGTTCCCTGGAAGATCTGGTAACTGATAGAAAAGCCTCTATCAATTCAAATATCAGGCAATACTATGTGTCATTCAAAGCATTCCTTCTGTAAACAGTACTTCACATATCCCCACTTTCGTATCCCCACAACACTGCCCTAATTCTAGCATTCATGGCCTTAAGTTTTCCATTCTCGTTCTTATTTTAGAACCCTTATCCCGTCATTCTTGTGGCCTCTAAATTGACCTTCCTAAAGGACCACTCTGATCATTTCACTCCCCAGTCCACAAACTATCAATGACTTCCTGTTACATACCGAGCAAAGTCCAAGCTCCTAATCAAAACCTGGAAATCTACTCAGATCTGGAAGGTTTTGTTGAAACATATCTCTTCTCCTCAACCCTTAATAACTTTTAAGTCCCAATCATATGCAGATGATGCTTGAAGATGCTAGGAAAATGTAATGATGAATAAGAATTGACCCCTATCCTCCTGAAGCTTATAATCTACTAGAGACCCGGTGCATGAAATTGGTGCACAGGGGATGTGGGGTGTGTCTCAGCCCAGCCTGCACCCTCTCAAATCTGGGTGCAAATGCAGCCCTTCTGAAAAGAATCCCCCAGTGGGATTGGGCCTAAACGGGCAGTCAGACATCCCTCTCACAATCCGGGACTGCTGGCTTCCAAACACCTGCCTGCCTGCCTGCTTGATTGCCCCTAACCACTTCTGCCTGCCAGCCTGATCACCCCCTAACCACTCCCCTGCCAGCCTGATCGATGCCTAACTGCTCCCCTGCCGGCCCAATTGCCCCCAACTGCCCTCCCCTGCAGGCCTGGTCGCCCCCAACTGACCTCCCTTTCAGGCCTGGTCCCTCCCAACTGCCCTCTCCTGCTGGCCATCTTTGACCACATGGGGGTGGCCATCTTGTGTGTTGGAGTGATGGTCAATTTGCATATTACTCTCTTATTAGATAGGATTATTAGTAGGAATACTGCTTATGCTAACCAATATTACTCATGGAAAGACTTTATCAAGTCACAAATCAATATACACTGTATTTCATTCCCAAAGGATTTCCTCTGTAAACACTATATCTCATATAACACCAGGCCAAGTAACATGTAACAATATGTTTGTGCTCAACAGTAAACCAGGACATCTACAAGGCTTGCAATTGCTTGCTCTGACAATAGCACATAACATTTTTATCACACAGCATTTCATTGTGTTGGTCAATAAGAATGATCAATAAATGTGATCAAGCTACAATAAATTAGATATAACCACTTATGTAAGGATCAGCTATAATAATAACATAAGAATGCTAATTATACATAATCAAGTATATTATTTCAAATCAAGCATTTATAATTCTAATGTCTTTAATGAGGGGACTCTGCAAATTTTTTATCCAGCATTAAATTCCTTGAAGACAAAACTTCTTGTGATTTTATTAAACAGAATACTTTAAATACTAAACCAAAAATAATAAAAGTAATGTTTACTTCTTTACTTCCAGGGAATAGTAAAAATTATGTAAGAGCTTTCAAGTTTCACTGCTCATGAAATAAGTTAAATGTTTAATGGCATTCAAATTTAGGAAGTTAGACATATTTAAAATATGTAACAACATATAACAAAATATGACTACTATCCCTTCCACAGAACTTCCTCTCATCACGTAGTATTTGAGTGGCCTCAGATACTAAGATTTTATTTTATAGGTGAGGAAACTGAGTCAAGTGGAAGGAAAACAAGGTCACACAACTTGTCGGGTGTACAGCTCAATTCGCAACCAGCTTTCCGGCCTCTTAGTTCGGTGTTCTTTCCAAATTCATAGACAGACCATGAGTCTGCTCTGGCGTTACATTCCCTGATTCTTAATTTACCTATTTCTCCTGCTTCACACTAACTTAGCTGCCATGCTTCCATTCATGCATTCATGCCTGCACCCCTCCCCTCTTTCTGTTTATCTTTGATCCCCTCTTAATTTCACATTAGGCGGCGTTGAATGAAGAAGGGCTTTTTTAGCTTTGTGGACCTCAAAAATCAATCCCTGGAGAGCCACTGTCTACTCAAATCCTATGACAAAGCGAAACCGATTCACACATAAGCCTCACCCCCTGCTGAGCAGCACAGACCCGAGCATCTCCTATACCTTTATCCTCCGGGGTACCTTCTTCCTGTCAACCGGCCATAAATAAGTCTCGTAAAGTAAGAGTGATTTAACATCATGGGCCGGTCAAGCACCCTAACAATCTTATATAGCAACGGAAGTAAGAGGTGTTCCTTAGGAAAGGAAATGCTTAAAAGCAATGTGCCATTTTAGCTGTGGGGCTCCCATGGTCCCCGGCAAATCTTCTGTTTCAGAGGCAGAGCTTTGAAAACACTGGCAACCTGCCTTTCATCACAGCCGTGTACCCCTCCCTATAACCCAGGAATAGGCAGTCCTCTTTTTATTTTATTTGGTATCTTTAGTAAATGTTCTTGGCCTATAATTCTTCAGATTACATATCTATAATCCACCTAAAAAGGAAAGGTTATCATTATTTTGTTTTTATAGTTTGGTAAACCTCTTTGGAACCAACAATAGCTATGAAGTTTCTTCACCAAAACATTCCCATGTCCACAAGTTAATTTTCTAACAAGTGGCTGCCTGGCCACCACTGACCTAAGTGCCATAACAAGCAGAGATGGGTGTGGGCTCCCTGCAGTGTAAACTGTGAGAAAGTCCCCTGGCTTATTAGACACATTTGAAAACATCGCATTCTTTCTGGCAGCCTAATTGTACAGCAATACATAGTCATTGTATTTGTCCCCAGAAGTGGATTTTAAATTACCATAAGCAGCCTCTCCGTCCAGGAGATTTTACTGAGAAAAAAGGAAAAGAGAGAAGTGTCTATTTAAGGCACAATTGGGCTTAGGTCTTTTTTTTTTTTTTTAACTTGCTCTTGTGCTTAGAGAGTCGAGAAAAGGTGCTGAGCTTTCACTCTTGATTAAAAAAATGTCTTTTTTCTCTCTTTCTCTCTTAGGTCGAAATAATACATATGGCTTCATAATGTCAGCTCCTGGACCTTACAAAAAAAACTTGTTTCGCAGTGGCCTCCTGCATTTTATGAAGAGCAAGAAGCAACTGAGTTTAAATATACATACATTTTGACAAAACAAACACCAAGCCTCACATACCAACACCAAGCCTCACATACACCGGGGCACGCGCGCACACACACACACACACACACACTGAGACACACACCAGTTCCACTTGGCCTCCTCTTCCTAACTGAAACAGACAAATATGCAGGACACGCCCAGCTCGGATTTCCTGAAAGCAGGCTTCTTTCTCCCAGGCCTTTGGGAAGTTCAAAAGGAGACGTGTTGGTGCCCTCTGCTGGCCGTCACTAACTCCTCTGCCGCTCAGCCCGTGGGCCTCTGGGAGCTGTCAAGTCATCCAGGGCAAAGTAGCTTGAGAGTCCTGTCTTCTGCACTCCAGACATCTTGATAGCACCACGGCTCCGTAGGCAACAGAATTGCAAACACCAACAAACAAAACGTGCCATGATGACCTGGTAACCAAAGTCTGAAATGGCAGGTTGTTTGCCCTAAAGGCTGTCCCGTACATACTTGCCTTAACCCACCTAAGTTGTGCGCCCGAGAATCTCAGTGCAGACATCCCCAAGTCACTTCCTTTAGGCTAACACACTGCTATTAATTCCGAATGAGTTCGAGTCTGTATGTTTTATGTCAAGAAACCAGACTGAAGAGCCCAGCAGCTCCAGTGTGTCTGTGTACGAAAACTGCCAGCTGTCAGCAAAGTGCTTTACCATTGAGCCTCCACAGTGGCCAAAAAGAGACAAGTACCAATAACAACAACAATCATCATCATCACCTTTATAATTCTTAAATATGGGCTTCTGATGGGGTTGGGCAGGGGCAAAGTAAAACTTAATAATCTACTAACATTTATCTACTGGAAGCAGAAATGGCATAACTCACTGACTTTATTTATCGCACTCTAGGTGCTTTTATAAGTATCTACAAATGTCTTTTACTAACACAGAAACAGCTGTGGA